TGTGAGCCTCCTCGATTACACCCGCATTCAACATCTGATCCTGCATTTTGACCTCGACCTCCAGATGGTTTTGTATTCTTCTAAGTCCATTCGACCGATACGGCTGTCGCGAAAGCGGTATGGTGTGTTCGAGCCAATTACACAACCAATAGGGCCAGTTATTGTCTGTGAACAGAAGTTTGTATTTGCCGACAAGCGATTGCAGGGCCTTACTAGTGTGTAAAACGGTAACGACTGAGCACGCCCGGGTGGATCCTTCTCTACCAGCGAGAGGTATAGACCGGTATTTCGTCATCAGCTTTCCTCGTTTCAGGTCGACGATGGCCTGATTGGCTTGGAGAAAGTCTGCCCCCAGAATGGTCTGTTTCGCGTCCGGCGACACGACAAAGATGGTTGAATTTATGACTCCCGATACGAACCACGTGCTCCGCCATACCATTTATGCGTATATCGTAACCACCGACCGCCTTCACCACCATGGAACACGATTGGGTTTTCACTCCATCTCGTTGGTTAATCAGGAACTGCGGCTCCTGTGTCAATTAAACTCCTCTCTGTTGCTCCATTCACCTCTACCGTCGCTTTAATCGTACCTATGTTTAGGACCCCAAGTATGCACTCTCCAACACGAGAACAATACTGTTCGTAACTTATTTGGTACAAAGAATGCAGTGCGCTTTGATGGACATTGCCGCTTTCAGTGTCCCAGTTTCCCACAATAGAAGCATCGCTCAGTTTGCCGCTTGCTCTGACGGGTAAATCGAAGTGCTCCAATGTCTTGCGTAATCTGCTTCAACTTATCTTCTAACCTGTCCAATCGCCTGCTATCTTTTCGGTCTTCGATTCGCAATGCTGCCGCTGGCTCCTGTACCAACTCACTCGAGCAAGTTCCACCACGCCCGTTCTTTGGGTGGCGTTCACAATCCGCAGTCGATCCGCCATTGTTGGAGGTACACCGTATAGAAACTGCGCCACTAACAGTTGCTATTTTGCCGCGTCATCCAAATCTGGCAGCGCCCGATCCAACAAGCTGCCGAGTTGGACCGCAAACACTGCCGGGTCCGCTCCTATCCCCAGTCGGGCCGCCTTGAATCGTCTGCATCGCATCCCGGTGGTTGGCCGAACTGTCGAACCCCGCGATCAGCGCCTCCTTCGCGGCGGCCCATTCCACCTTGACTGGGCCTCTTCTTGCCGCTTCCAAGACCGCCTCCGCTCATCCCTTGAGTAGTCCGAAGCGCAACCTGTCTAGCCCGATCCTGCTTCTCCCCGACCGCTTCAACATCTTCCAAGTCTTCCAAGGACATCTGTACATCGCCATCCCTAAGTGGTTCCGGCTACGGGACCACCTTCCACTTCCGACTAGTCGCGGCACCAGATGTGAAAGCTGGTAGTGTGAGCGAACCACGTGCCAGGCAACGAACGTCTACATGGTATAACATTTCCAACATAAACAGTCGGTCTGATTTGCGTACATCATTCGTCGTGCCACTTGATTCCACACTGCGCCTTGTGCTATCGACTCCGCTTGCCGTGACGGTACGGTATAGGTTCAACACTCCATCGTCATCCAGTTTCAGGGCTAGTTGAATTGTTCACTACGCGCCCGTCGTCCGCGGTGATCCATTATTTGCTGAGTTCATCGCGCCTGTTCGTTTCACCGTACTACTCACTAGTAGTGCGCCACAGGTGAGCCACGGAACAGCGATTAAGAGTAAGGAATGGTGAAGAGGAATGGATTAAAAGAGAGAAGTTGTGTGAATGATCCGATGACACTTATGTGCTTATTTATCGATCGTCGGAAAGCATGTAGAAAGGAGGAGCGATATGTCAGACGAGGAGACTTCGTCGCAGGTATTTGAGACTACGCTGTTGAATTAAGATGGACGAAGGGACGGATGGACGCTAGCAGACAATGCGAGCTTGGAAACTATTGCTTGATGAAGAAGTGCACAAGCAAGCAGTGGTAGGATGACGAGATTGGTGAGCTCGCTGTGATACGAGTCCGAAACTAGAGCAAGGCGACAATCTATGGCAAGCAACCCAGTTAAAGCAAGAATAAGAAAGAATAAAAAAGCATTGCCCATAAGGTTGACGGGGTGAGGTCAACCCACAGAGGAAAGCCAAAGAGACTGGTGCGTTTGGGTGGCATTTGCTTGATAGCAGTTAGAAAACAGGAATGACAACATTGACGAGAATGTATCGAGGCGTTAAGACGGGTGGGCAGCATTGCCTTAATTATTGAGACCTCCAGACATATGTGCAGAGCTACAGTGTCAAACGTAGGTTGCTTGAGCACCAGAGGTAAGTGGTGCATACGAGGAAAAGAAAGCCAGAGCCACAGTGATAAGGGAACGAATATTGCCATGATTGGAGGACAAACAGAGGTGCAGGGAGCCTACGCCGTGTCGTTGTGGTTAACTAGGAGAACATCGAGCTGGATGTCTCGCACATGCTTGACACACCAGCTGCCACTCCCCGATAGGACATTAGGAATGAATATGTGCCGGAACGAGTTTGTGTTCTTTGTTCTTTTATTGAAACTTTCCCCTGCGGTAGTTAGGCGTCCCTGACAGATATATACTACACTTACTGCTCACAGGGCTGCTATTGATCGCCACGCCTTCACTGTTCTCCGACTTCAACTGTTACTTCCTTCCTCGTGGCTGTTCTTTCGTCCGTTCTGTGGCGGTTTTGAAGACACCATCGTTGTTGGGTTGTAGAGATGCCATTCCTTTACTCTGCTTCCCTTGGCTCTGGAAAGAGTAGTACAGTGCCCTCATCCACTTGTACTCGGTGGTCTCCATGGGTAGCCACAATTTGGACCATGAAGAAGGTAGAGCGTTTTAAATGCGCAAAATTGCTTCATCTTGCAGTCTGCTTGGTTAGCTATGTCCGGATCGAAAATCACTGTCGAGTAGTGCGGTTCCTACATTGTTGTTATGGAACTGGAATATTTCTCGGTGCAGTACAGCTGCGTAGACGCATGAGTGGAGCTCCTTTGTGTGGAGACCCACTCGTGTGTCAACTCATGAACTGTTGCTTCCAGATCACCGAGGTGAAACGTGGACTGTATTCTTCCCTATTATGGTAGATGTGCTACCCTGACAGGCTTCGCGTCTTGAGATCACCTCGCCCGTCAGCCTTACCTTTAAATACACTAACTCAAGTCAAATCATGACTTTTATCATGATCTAGCACCTAGTCACTTTGACCTGACGATGTTCGATGTTTCTTACATCCATATTCGCAAATCGGTCGTCTTATGTTTCCCTTGTTACCATCCGGTCCTGCCTCATAGTTCCCAACTTCGCACACTTGACAGCAATTAACCCCGATATTTCCCGTGATATGTGCCTATGCATGCTTATTCCATCCTCTTCCTTTTCGTTCGGTATCCAATGAGTTCCAGATGTCATGAAAGCCCCTCTTTCTTGTCTCCTCCACACAGATGATTGAATGGGAGAACGCTGCAAACCACTTAGACCCTGTCCTTGCTCGGGCATGCAAATCGGACATTTTACGGAGTTGTCCACGATCGTTGCTCGTTCGCACCGATGCTGACGTGGACAATTTGGACAAAGGTATCCGTCATTGCTTGCAAGAAACGCTGCGGAGCGGAAAGATCGAATCACGCGAATGCCGATTCGAGGTGATCAACATGCTCGAGGAGATCCGATCGGATCTGCATCTGAATCCGGAGTTGTACCAAGCATGCGCGCTGGATGCGCATCAGAACTGTCGTGATGTGAGTAAACCGCAAAATTTTCCCTTATAGTGTGGTGTGTAACATGCATAGTAAATGGGCCAATCCTATTGAATGCTGCTGGTTTATCCACGCGTAGCTCTACTATGGGTAGCAATGGCTATCCTCTGCTACGGCACCGCCTAAGCTGCTTCGATGTTTGCGGCACTGACTGAGACCACAGTCATTCGGATTTGGGTTTTTCATGTAAGTGATCTGTGGCATATTTCTGTATGAGTGATACAGTATGTGCAAGCCAACTTTCGCACATTAATCAAGTCGGATGCAGATGGATACGACCGAACCTGTCCACGTATAGATTGAACATGGATAGGTACATGAATACTGGATTGTGGGAGCAAGTAGAAATTAAAATCTATACAAATCCACTGGGATATGGTTAAAAAATGTTATGAACATTATCTGTAACCTGTTAATACTCTGTTCGTTCTTCAAGTAGTATCACGGGACTCACAAATGTAAACTATCATCGTTAGTGTGAAACCGTTCCGTCGCAACGAGACTGGACCTTAACGTGGTGCGACGGTTTGCGTACCTCTTTAACCCATTGGATTCGATTGATTGATTGATTGGATTCCGGTGAACAGCCGTTTATGTGCAGCCCGTTTGACATCACCTAAGGTGGATTCACGAACTAATGATTTCCGCTTACGCCCCCAACGACTGCAGTTCTAATGCTGTCAAGGACACGTTCTATCAAGAACTGAACGCGCTACTACGCAGTGCTACTAGTTCAGACAGTATAGTACTTGCAGGGGAGATCATCATCATCATCATCATCATCATCATCATACACGTTAGCTAGAGGTGGGGAACACCTCAGCTACTGTGCCGCAATACAAAGAAAAAAAGGAGAGAGAAAAAAACAACTGGTGAAAGCTGGCTGAGCTACCGGTAACGGATGGGCATCGTTCCGGTAAGCTACCAGCCGGCTGCTGTGCACCAAAAAAAAATTACTATGCAAAATTATATAAGGCTAAGTAATGAGATCGTGGTTGGAGGGGGAGGCTAAGAGGGATGGGGTGGGACAAAGAAACTCACAGCACGAACGCCACTGAGGTCGGCTCCTAGCCACATCAGCAAGTGTGTCCAACCAAACGTGTTCATCGTCTTTCGGACCCCAACCAGGGAGCCGAGACGCTCCAACCGAGGCCAGCTTCGAAGTGAGGGTCTTCATTCCTCTGGACCAAGTCATCGCTTGGCCACCCCTCCTCTTCTTCCATCCACACCCCCGGCGCGCAAACAACACACGTCGCGGAAGTCGGTGGGCTGGCATGCGTAACACGTGGCCGAGCCATCGGAGCCTGATGCGTGAAATAACGGTGCTGAGCGGTTCAGTTCCTTTTCCTGTGCCATAAACAAGGCGTCGAACACGCTCGTTACTCACGCGGTGTTCCCACCAAACGTGAGCTAAATTACGAAGGCACCGGTGGTCGAACGTAACTAGCCTCTTCAGGTCCGCTGCTTTAAGCGGCCAGGTTTCACAACCGTACAGTAAGGTCGAACGTACTGCTGCATTGTACACTCTACCCTTCAGGGCAAGAGTGATGTCGCGCCGGCGCCATAAGTGGCGAAGGTTAGCAAAAGCACTTCGAGCTTTTGCTATACGATTCGTGATTTCATCTTCAATCCCACAGGCGCTGATACAACTTCCCAGGTAGTTGAATTTTTGAACGACTTCTAGCTGATCCCCACCAAGGGTCAGCGTAGGAGGCGGTCCAGACCAATCTTGGAGAAACGCTTTGCACTTCGAGGGTGCGAAGCAAAGCCCGAAGTGACGGACAGCTAGTGCTAATCTGTCCAGTGCAGCTTGGCACGTTTGTGAGCTGTCACAGATGAGGGCAATATCATCAGCATACTCTAAATCAAGAAGTCGTTCTCCTGGAAGTAGCTCCACACCTTCTAAGTCGTGTCCTGTGAACGCGATTTCTATGACTTCGTCAACAGCGAAGTTGAAGAGGAAAGGTGACAGCGGGCATCCTTGTCTCACGCCGCTGGAGATATTAAAGGGCGACGACAACTTGCCGTAAGCCCTCACTCTGCCCGAGCTACGAGCATATAATGCTCGGATAATATTCACATATTTTTCAGGTACACCTTTCCTGAGTAGACAGTCCCAAAGTGCATGTCTATCCACCGAATCGAATGCACCTTTGATATCGAGGAACACGACAACGGTGGGCCGCCAATATATGTGACGGTGCTCCAACAACTGACGCAAGGTGAAGATGTGGTCAATGCAGCCACGACCTCGACGAAATCCAGCTTGCTGTTCACGAATCTGGCTTTCACGAGTGCCAGTCAGTCTGTGAAGGATGACAGAGGCAAGCAATTTGGAGGCGATGGAGATCAGACTGATTCCTCTATGGCTGCCGCATTCCGATCGTGAGCCTCCTTTGAAAATTGGGACTATGATGGAGCGGCTCCAATCGGTTGGGACAGTTTCCTGCTCCCACAGTCTCACTAGTAACTCGTGTAAATCATCCACAAGAGCAGGTCCCCCGAATTTGAAAAGGGCTGGAGGAAGGTCATCAGGTCCCGCGGCTTTATTTAACTTCAACAGTTTGATCTCATGTTCGACTTCTGAGCGAGAGGGTGGATCCAAAGGAACAGCCCACGGAGCAGGGCGATCACTGGTCGGCAAGAAATCTAACAATTCCGACCGATTAAATTGCCTTTCAAAGTGCTCAGCCCAACGTTCCAGGCGTTTTGATAAATTGTGGATGGGCTGTCCACTCTCGTCACGTATAGTTTCACTAACACCAGGTCTCCTGCTGCCCGTTTCCCGTATCAGACGGAATAACTCACGATGGTTACCAAGGGCAGCGGCCGTTTCCATCTCTGTTGCACGACGAGACCACCAGGATTCGCGGTCTCTCTTCAGGCTAGCACGGAGTTTTGCCCGGAGCTCTTTGCGAGTTTCATTGTGTTCGCTTCCAGCCGGAATATGCCGGCGAGCATCTATAAGTTCCAAAGACTGTGAAGAGACCCAATGTTCATGTTGGCGATTAGACATACCACATGAGGATTTGCCTGCTGCTAGTAAGGCCTGTTGCATATGAGACCAGTGAGCTTCAATTGCATCCAGTGAGCGTTTATCCAACTCGGATGACAGCGTAATTTGATAGGCGTTCAGAACAGCTGGATTCACCAGTCTGCCGGTGTCAATGCGCTCACAACATCGTCGCGGGCGTCCGCCAAAGCGCATCCGCAGGTCAGCACATACAAGTGCATGATCGGTGTCTACACCTGTGCTCCAAATCGAGCGACAGTTCTGGACGCAGCCTCTCCATCGGTAACTAATAGCAATGTGATCGATTTGCGTCCATAGCTGGTTCGAGGCTGGTGGGCGCCAAGTCACCCTTCGGCGGGTGCTGTGTCGGAAATTAGTGCTCGCAAGAAATAAGCGAGCATCCTCACACAAATGAAGTAACCGCTCACCGTTATCATTACGGGAGCCTATACCATGTTGGCCGCCCAGATGCAGCTCATCTGCGGATAATTTTCCAACTTGAGCGTTCAGATCCCCAGCCAGCACTACAGTGTCCGAGCTTCTTCTGTGGCGAAGGAGTTCGTTCAGTTGGCGATAGAAGTCGTCTTTTACCGAGTCATCGCTACAGTTTGTGGGCGTGTATGCACCGATGACGAATAGACATCTATTAGTCCCGCGCGACTTAGAAGTTTTGAACGAGCCAGCCAATCGGACCGCACACATCCGGCTACTGATTGGAATCCAATCAACCAGAGCAGTTTCAGCCCGGGGACTCAGGGCAATGCCAACACCAGCTTGGCCGGTGCTCGAAGCTGCATCGTCACCGGATAGGCGCAACGAGAAAGTGCTGCTAGTGTCACCTGAAGGGGATCGCAGAGTGAGTACAGAGCTCGAGTCTTGCAGGCGGGTCTCCGATAAGCAGCAGATATCGATCGAGAGGGTCTCTAATGTTCGGGCAAGTGCTGCCTGTTGACCGATCTGAAGCAATGTGCGAACATTGAGGCATGCCAGTCTGAAGGAGGATCGAGGGCTCCAAATGGAAGCCGATGAACTGGAATGGGCCGCTTGCTTGGACATGGGCCTGTTGACAGTGCAGGAATGACGCTCCGCGTTCACCTGTGAGTTGAAATTAAAAGACAAGCGACTATTGAAGCAAGGTGGGGGAGGGCCGAGAATTGGGGGGTTGAAAACAGGGGGGATAAAAGTAAAGCTGGAACGGGACGATAAGGGTGAAAAAGCGCAAGAAGGGGAATAAGAAGATGGGAAGGCCTGAGCAGTAGCATTCAAACCCCTATCCACCCTGCTCGATGCAGCAGATAGGGCACCGTTGATTATCCTCTGCGGTGGCCAGAGCATCAGCAATTTGTTTGAAGTGCGATTCATTGTATTGCGTGGGCAGGATACTGTCAGGTTGCCCAGGCCTAGACAGGAGAACGATTAGGGTTCTCAACCAAAGCCTTTGGTTCAAAAACCTGACCGCAAGGCAGCGGGTTTGGCATTGGACTACAAGGAGTCCGTTTTAAGGAATAAGGAGCCACCCTCATTCCAACCCCCAACCTGGAGGACCAGGAGGCTGAGTTTGTCTGGCCTCTAACCATTGACCAATCTGGTAGGAGTGGCTCTGAAGATGCAAAAGCACCACCCAGTATAGCTCAATGGATCACTGAGGCACACAAACCATCGCACCACGGTAAGGTCCAGCCTCATTGCGATGGAGCAGGGGAGATTAACGCACACATAGGGCGTCTGAGCTCTTCAGAAGCTCAACTGGGTAAGAATTATGGGCTTAACTCCGAACGGGCTGACAACGGTGAGCGTCTGCTGCAACTATGTGCCGACCACCAGTTGTTTCTTAGTAGCACTGGTTTTAGACACAGTGCACTACGAAGTGCCACTTGGCGTCCCCCTGTAGCTGGCCAGCAATGGACCCAAATTGACCACATAGCCATAAGTTGCAGATGGCGTGTTTCCATCCTGGATTGCTGTTCATACTGGAGTACCTGCGGCAACTCTGATCTTGCCTTGGTACGCTGTCGTTTCTCCATGAACTTTACCGGGAGATGCACCAAGCGTCTCCTCCGATTGGCAACTGAGAAATTGTCAGCCCTCGGTCAGGCAAGCCTATCAAGTCGCACTGCATACCGAACTTTTGCTGTCTTATTCTAATGACACTGAGCTTCAGTGGAATAGGATCTCGGCCGCCATGCACGACGCAGGAGCATCTGCTTGTGGCATTATCAATGGTCACCGCACCAGTCACTGGATATCCGAGAGGTCGGTGAACCTGTTGGAATCTAGAAGAAACCTCCTGGCTGGCTCTGAACACAATGTGACCAGACGTGCTATTAGACGCGAACTAAAGCGGAGCTCTCGTGCTGACCAGGAAGCCTGCTGGACCACTCGGGCTCAAGAAATGGAGGAGGCAGGAGCAGTAGGCAATTACCGCAAGCTCTTCCAGCTGATCCACACCACTGGTCCCAAGAAACCAGGCGTCAGAAAAAAAGGAAAGACAGCGCAGGTGCGCTGATGCACAATAAGGAGCGCCGTATGGCTCGTTGGGCTGAACACCTTGAAGATCAGTTCAGTTGGCCCCTTGCTCCCGGACCTCTTCATATTCAGTTGATGCAGGACGAGCCATGGGCGTTTAGTTTAGAGCCTCCGTCGGAGGCCGAGGACCGCAACACGATCACAGCCCTCAGTCGTTTTCGTGCTGCTGGCCGGGATCCCCTCCCACCTGCACTATTTAAAGATGGAGGTGAGGTCCTCTGCAAAACACTGACCTCCCTATTCGAACCTATCTGGAAGGAAGAGAGTGTCCCGGATGATTGGAACGAATCGATTATAGTGGCAATATACAAGAAGGCGAGTCGCACAGACTGTGCTAACCACAGGGGTATTAGCCTAACGCCAGTTGCTACAAAATCATTGGCCTCGAATCTCGTTCGTCACTTCACTGTGGAACGGGAATCTCGGATTAGTGAAGAGCAGGCAGGTTTCCGCCCCAGGACGTGGCTGTATAGACCATATATTCACTTTGCGGCAGGTGCTAGAGCAGCGCCACGCATACTGCAGACCGACAATATCTGTGTTCCTTGATTTCATGAGTGCGTTCGATTCAGTCGATCGATCGATTCTGTTCGAAATACTTGCGCGGAAAGGTGTTCCCACGAAATATGTGAACATCCTTCGTGCTCTGTACTCGAACACTACTGGCGGCGTCAGGGTCTACGGTGTTCTCTCAGATAGCTTTCCGACCACAAGTGGCGTTCGTCAGGGTTGTCCGATTTCCTCGTTTTTGTTCAATTTCGTCGTGGATTCTATCATGGAGTGTTCCCTTGCGGAATCTCACGATGTACGCGGTGAAGTGCTGCCTGGTTACAGTTTAGTTGACCTAGATTATGCGGACGATATCGTCTTGCTTTTCGACGATGTTGTGGCGGCACAATCAACCCTGAATAGCCTGACCAGAGTAGTCCCATTATTTGGTATGCGCTTTGCATCTTCAAACTGCAGTGTTGCTGCAGGACCACCAGCCACTTGATGACCCCTTGACGCTTGCTAACGAGGAACTCGAAGTGGTTGATCAATTCACTTATCTTGGCAGCTGCATCAGCAACGATGGGCACATAGAAACTGATGTCAGCTCACGCATTGCAAAGGCCAGAGCTGTCTTCGTGAACCTGCGGCATCTTTGGCGACAGAAGGGAATTTCCCTCCGTCTGAAAAGCCGTGTATACAAGGCCACGGTGAGGGCCGTTCTGCTCTATGGTAATGAGACTTGGCCCCTTCGGTCGGAATATCCGAGGCGCCTTCAAGTTTTTGATCATTGTTGTCTGCGAAGCATTGCTGGTGTCGGATGGCATCAGTGTGTCCGCAACGATGATGTGCGTTGGCGAGTACTAGGTGGTAAAAATCATGCTAGCTCCCTAGAACAACAGATAGCGCTGAATAAGTTGCGTTGGCTCGGGCACGTGCTACGTATGCGCCTGGTCACCGCGTACCTAGAAGGGCCTTGTTTAGTCTGCGAGGTGTAGGGTGGCGTAAGTTTCGAGGTGGACAGAAGTTGACTTGGCAGCGGGAAATGAAGTCGCTGACGACCAAATTGTGTGCCGTTGGTCCATCTCGTCTTCAGGGCTGGAGTCCACGTGACTCGCCTTGTGCTTGCCTTGAGACTTTACAGGACATGGCTCGCAGTGGACACCAGTGGCGCGTCTGCTGCCGTCTCCTATTCAAATTGCCTGTTTAATCTTGGGTTTGGTGCTGAGTTATCTGCGGGGTAATGGCTGATTATGACGCATGGCAGTGAAAGCCGCAGGGCAACTGTCTCGCCGCTGCCGCCTTATCTCTGCACCATAGCCAGCTGTTTGTGACGGTATGTTGTTAACACAAGGTGTAGGCGCCTTGACCCTGAATAATTGCTTAGGGCATTAATGTTTTCAGATAAGTCCCCGTTCTCTCCCTCTTATTATTCTTTATTTCATAGGTCATCATTGTTGTGTGGCAGCGAAGCATCAGTTCAAATGGCGGATGTACTGCTGTTGTTGTTTGTTGTTGAATCGAAAGGAGGTTAATCTGAAATCCAACAACGTTTTGAACTGTTGCAGAGTTGGCCTCCACAACCTATTCTACTAAATTGCTCCAAACGTTTGTCACTCTCCATCCGAAACGTAGGGAGTTAGGAACTCGCTACATATCGTAATCGTAGCGCATCTAGCTAGTTGGATCGGTGTACTCAGGTTCGTGAATGATCGCGAAGTTAAAACGTCTCTGGCCGGCTAAGATTGATACCATACCTCATGTGGTTTGGTCAGCCGTTGATTAACCGCGGTTGAACTCTTTTCATTCCTCTGCTTTCTCTTTCTTCGTATTTTCCACGGGTCTTTAATACGGAAGCCATCTCACACTGGGACATCTATGCCCGTAGGACACAACACAGGTAAGAGATTTTTGTCATGGGAAACTGGGCTGATTGGTGAACTTTGTTCCACAGAACCGCCAATTATGCCTTCGCCTTTGTCTTGAATTGCCCCGTATGTGTAATAGCATTGTCACCCATGCCTCTTTGGAAAATCGCTTCTTTGTTACTCCTCTTTCTGCTAATATCCCGAATAATTCGTCGGACTCTCATGACGAATGTTCGGCATACTCTCATTCCGAACCGCTCGCCTGCCTCTCACTCGATTTGTGGAGTTCCCTGCATGCTTGGCTTTCACTTTTCCCTTCTCTCTAACTGATGTATCTTTCTCTTCCACTTTGTTAGATCGAGCCTGGACAGGGACGCCTATTGACTTGCCTGCTTCACGTGCTGGATCACAAGGATGCGTCTGCTGCCCTCTCTCCGAAGTGCATCAGAAAGTTGTCTGAGCAACGTGATTTGTGGAACTATGTGGCCAAGCTCCAGCGATCCGATTCTTTGAGTGAATTGGTGTATCACGTGAACGCTAGTCAATCGAGGAACTATGTCCTTTTGTCTTTGTTCCTCTTTTTCTCTCTCATCTTCGTATTTGGGCTGTGCTGTGGCCGCGTGACGAAGCGAGTTCCGGTGGACATAAAGTCCAAATAATCTCCGACTTTTCATTTGCATTCTTTTTGTGTACGTTCTGAATCCATCTAGCCTCTTTGCTGCGCATTACCCGATTCGATGTTGCCCCAGTCCCGCCTGTGTGCAGTTGCATTTGTGAAACAATTCATTTGTCCTTCTTCCTTTTGTTGTTTCTGACCGGTCTCCTTCTTTGTTAAACTTTTGTTTTTTTTCCTTTCTATCAGCTGAACATAATTTGTCCTCATCTACAGTTGTCCTACGCACCATGCGCGTACACATCATTCTTGATTCCAAATATGTGTTTGTATGGAGGAGTGTCCTTGTTTTATCAATATGCCAAGTGAAATTGCGGCTTTTTCGATTCTATCGTATGACTACCGATGTTAGATTCGCACATTCAACCCCATGATACCGAGACACAAGTTGAAAACATGTTAGCACAAACGAAAGATTTAGTCACGCTATCAAATGATGCTCGAGAATGTTCCAACTCCTCATTGGTCACTTGCTGTTGTCAATATCAAAACTACCAGGTGAATCAATGCGGCCTGGATACTCGTAAACATTTGAAATTCCTGTGAGAGTTAAAAAAAAAACAAAGATATAGTCCTTATGAGTAGAAGGATTTTTGTGAGCATTTTTGTTCGTCGCAGTTAGCCGACAATTCAGATAAGTCAAGTACTGCGCCATGGCGCAGTTGCATAAGCTGTGGGCTAGTTGTCACAAGCCACTAGCAGTCATGGATTCGATCCTCCGTAGAGGACCGAAGGATGCACACAATTGACGAGCCCCAATGGGGCGAAACGGCCGTCTGGTGGTTTTCCGGATAGGTAGTTGACTTATCTGAATTGTCGGCTAACTGCGACGA